TGTCACCTGTCCCTTGTCACCTGTCCCTGTGTCACCTGTCCCTTGTCACCTGTCCCTGTGTCACCTGTCCCTTGTCACCTGTCTCTGTCACCTGTCCCTGTCTCCTGTCCCTGTGTCACCTGTCCCCTTCCCCTGTCACCTGTCCCCTTCCAGTGTCACCTGTCCCCTTCCAGTGTCACCTGTCCCTGTGTCACGTGTCCCCTTCCAGTGTCACCTGTCCCTTGTCACCTGTCCCAGTGTCACCTGTCCCCTTCCAGTGTCACCTGTCCCTGCCACCTGCAGTGTCTGGCTCTTCCTGCTCTACACCAAGCCCCATGGCCAAATCCTGGTAGCCACTGGCCGACTCCTGGTGGCCAGTGGCCAGCTCCTGGTGGCCACCACGTGTCCCCAAGCTCTCCCATGTCCCTGTCCCCTCATTGTCCCCCTGTCCCTGCAGCGTCCACCTCCTTCCTGCTCTACAACCAGCACCACTCGGGCTGCGTGGTGGCCACTTGGGCAACTCCTGGTGGCCACTGGGCAGGTCTTGGTGGCCACCACCATGTCCCCAGCCCCTCCTGTGTCCCTGTCCCCTCATTGTCCCCCTGTCCCCACAGCGTCCACCTCCTTCCTGCTCTACAACCAGCACCACTCTGGCTGCGTGGTGGTCACTTGGGCAGCTCCTGGTGGCCACTGGGCAGCTCCTGGTGGCCACCACGTGTCCCCAACCCTTCCCATGTCCCTGTCCCCTCATTGTCCCCCTGTCCCCACAGCGTTCACCTCCTTCCTTCTCTACATTGGCCACTGCATGGCGGCCACTAGGCAGCTCCAGGTGGCCACTGGGCAGCTCCTGGTGGCCACCACCATGTCCCCAACCCTTCCCATGTCCCTGTCCCCTCATTGTCCCCCTGTCCCTGCAGTGTCCGGCTCCTTCCTTCTCTACAACCAGCACCACTCCGGCTGCACGGTGGCCACTTGGGCAACTCCTGGTGGCCACTGGGCAGCTCCTGGTGGCCACCACGTGTCCCCAACCTCTTCCATGTCCCTGTCCCCTCATTGTCCCCCTGTCCCTGCAGTGTCCGGCTCCTTCCTTCTCTACACCAAGCCCCATGGCCAAATCCTGGTAGCCACTGGCCGACTCCTGGTGGCCACTTGGGCAGCTCCTGGTGGCCACTGGGCATGTCCTCAGTGGCCACTGGGCAGGTCTTGGTGGCCACCACCATGTCCCCAGCCCCTCCCGTGTCCCTGTCCCCTCATTGTCCCCCTGTCCCCACAGCGTCCACCTCCTTCCTGCTCTACAACCAGCACCACTCCGGCTGCCTGGTGGCCACTTGGGCACGTGGACTCCTGGTGGCCACTGGGCAGCTCCTGGTGGCCACCACGTGTCCCCAACCTCTTCCATGTCCCTGTCCCCTCATTGTCCCCCTGTCCCCGCAGTGTCCGGCTCCTTCCTGCTCTACATTGGCCACTGCATGGTGGCCACTGAGCAGCTCGTGGTGGCCACCACATGTCCCCAACCTCTTCCATGTCCCTGTCCCCTCATTGTCCCCCTGTCCCTGCAGTGTCTGGCTCCTTCCTTCTCTACACCAAGCCCCGTGGCCAAATCCTGGTGGCCACTGGCCCAGCTCCTGGTGGCCACTTGGGCAACTCCTGGTGGCCACTGGGCATGTCCTCAGTGGCCACTGGCCTACTCCTGGTGGCCACTGGGCAGGTCTTGGTGGCCACCACCATGTCTCCAACCCCTCCCGTGTCCCTGTCCCCTCATTATCCCCCTGTCCCTGCAGTGTCCGGCTCCTTCCTTCTCTACACCGAGCCCCATGGCCAACTCCTGGTGGCCACTTGGGCAGCTCCTGGTGGCCACTGGCCGACTCCTGGTGGCCACTGGGCAGCTCCTGGTGGCCACCACGTGTCCCCAAGCTCTCCCATGTCCCTGTCCCCTCATTGTCCCCCTGTTCCCGCAGCGTCCACCTCCTTCCTGCTCTACAACCAGCACCACTCGGGCTGCGTGGTGGTCGCCGGCCCGTGGCTCTCCCTGGCCCCCTGCGTCCCCTCGTCCCCGTCCCAGCTCTTCCAGTGGCTCCCCGGGGGCCTCCTGCGCCACGCCGCCACCGGCTCGTGCGCCGAGGCCGCGGCGGAGTCCGTGGGCGCACTGGTGCGGCTGCGGCCGTGCCGGGAGGCGTCGCGGCTGCAGCGCTGGGCGTGCGGCCGCGGGGCTCTGCTGGCCCTGGCCGGCACCGCGCTGCACTTCAACTTCGGCCACGAGCGCCTCCGGCGCGTCGTGCTCTACGACGGCGCCGGCAACTGGAGCCGCTGGCTGGCCCACGGCTCCCACCGCGACGTCTGCTCCAGGGCCTGTGAGTTCAAGTTTCCCAACTTTTCTCCGAGTGGGCGCACTGGTGCGGCTGCGGCCGTGCCGGGAGGCGTCGCGGCTGCAGCGCTGGGCGTGCGGCCGCGGGGCTCTGCTGGCCCTGGCCGGCACCGCGCTGCACTTCAACTTCGGCCACGAGCGCCTCCGGCGCGTCGTGCTCTACGACGGCGCCGGCAACTGGAGCCGCTGGCTGGCCCACGGCTCCCACCGCGACGTCTGCTCCAGGGCCTGTGAGTTCAAGTTTCCCAACTTTTCTCCGAGCTTGCCAGAATTTTCCCAAATTTTCCCAAATTTTTTCAAATTTTCCCAATTTTTTCCCAATTTTTCCCAATTTTCTCCAATTTTTCCCAAATTTTCACAATATTTTCCCAATTTTTCCCCGATTTTCCCCAATTTTTCCCAATTTTTCCCATTTTTCCCCAATTTTTCCCAAACTTTTACAATATTTTCCCGTTTTTTCCCCAATTTTCCCCAATTTTTCCCCAAGTTTTCGCAATATTTTCCCAATTTTTCCCCGATTTTCCCCAATTTTCCCCAATTTTTCCCCAAGTTTTCGCAATATTTTCCCAATTTTTCCCCGATTTTCCCCAATTTTCCCCAATTTTTCCCCAAGTTTTCGCAATATTTTCCCAATTTTTCCCCGATTTTCCCCAATTTTCCCCAATTTTTCCCCAAGTTTTCGCAATATTTTCCCAATTTTTCCCCGATTTTCCCCAATTTTCCCCAATTTTTCCCCAAGTTTTCGCAATATTTTCCCAATTTTTCCCCGATTTTCCCCAATTTTCCCCAATTTTTCCCCAAGTTTTCGCAATATTTTCCCAATTTTTCCCCGATTTTCCCCAATTTTCCCCAATTTTTCCCATTTTTCCCCAATTTTTCCCAAACTTTTACAATATTTTCCCGTTTTTTCCCCAATTTTCCCCAATTTTTTTCTATTTTTCCCAATTTTTCCCAATTTTCCCCAATTTTTTTCAAATTTTCCTATTTTTTCCAATTTTCCCCAATTTTTTGCCAATCTTCCCCAATTTTTTCCCAAATTTTCCCAATTTTTTCCCAAATTTTCCCAAATTTTTCAAAATTTCCCAATTTTTTCCCAATTTTCCCCAATTTTTCCCGAATTTTCCCAATTTTCCCCAATTTTCCCCAATTTTTTCAAAATGTCCCAATTTCCCCAGTTTTTCCAATTTTCCCCAATTTTTTTCCAATCTTCCCCAATTTTTTTTTCAAATTTTCCCAATTTTCCCCCAATTTTTCAGGTCTGAGTTTGGTGTTTTCTCACATTTTCCAAGTTTTCCCATTTTTTCTGGATTTTCCCCCAAGTTTTCCCAAATTTTTTTCAAATTTTTCACTCTGACTGTGACGTCTGCTCCAGGGCCTGTGAGTTGGCATGAAATTTCCCAAGTTTTCTCCAAGCTTTCCAGAATTTTCCAAAATTTCCCAATTTTCCCCAATTTTTTCCCAATTTTCTTCAAATTTTGCCAATTTTCCCCAATTTTCTTCAAATTTTGCCAAATTTTCCCCAATTTTTCCCAAACGTTCACAATATTTTCCAAATTTTTCCTCAATTTTCCCAATTTTTTCCCAATTTTTCCCATTTTCCCCCAATTTTCCCAATTTTTTCCCAATTTTCCCATTTTTTCCCAATTTTTCCCGATTTTTTCAAATTTCCCCAATTTTTTCCCAATTTCCCCCAATTTTTTCCCAATCTTCCTCATTTTTTTCAAATTTTCCCAAATTTTTGTCCAATTTTTCCCAATTTTTTTTCAAATTTTCCCAATTTTCCCCCCAATTTTCCAGGTTTGGTTTGGTGTTTTCCCACATTTTCCAACTTTTCCCAATTTTTCTGGATTTTCCCCCAAGTTTCCCCAAATTTTTTCCAATTTTTCCACGTTTTGCCAAATTTTGCCTGATTTTCTCCAATTTTCCTCGATATTCCCCAAGTTTTCCCAATTTTTTCCCCAGTTTTATGCAATTTTCTCCAAGGTTTCCCCAATTTTCTGCAATTTTTCCCAAATTCTTTCCCCAATTTTTCTGGATTTCCCCCATCTTGACTCCAAATCTTTGAGATTTCCCAAATCTTTGGGATTTTCCTGAATCCTGACCCCAAATTTTTAGCATTTTCTCAATCTTGACCCCAAATCTTTTGGGATTTTCCCAATTCTGACCCCAAAACTTCTGGATTTTCCTCATTCTGACCCCAAATTTTTGGGGTTTTTTCCCAATCCCAACCCCAAATTTTTAGAATTTTCTCCATCCCAATCCCAAATTTTTGAGATTTTCCCAATCCTGACCCTAAATCTTTTGAGATTTTCCCCATCCCGACCCCAAATCTTTGGGATTTCCCCAATCCTGACCCCAAATTTTTAGGATTTTCTGAATCTTGACTCCAAATCTTCGGGATTTTCCGCATCCTGATCCCAAATCTTCTGGATTTTTTCCCCCATCCCAACCCCAAATTTTTAGGATTTTCCCAATTCTGACCCCAAATCTTTTGGGATTTTCCCAATCCTGTTCCCGATTTTTTGAGATTTTCCCAATCCTGACCCCAAATCTTTTGGGATTTTCCCAATTCTGACCCCAAATCTTTGGGATTTTCCCAGATTTCCTGCCCTGCTCCCGGGGTTGGTTTTTTTCCCGCAATTCCTGTTATTTCTTCTCCAACTTCGCCGCTTCCTGGGAGAATTCCAGAACTTTCTGCTGGGCCTTGGGCTCGCAGCTGCTCGAGGTCGACGACGCCGAGGAGAAGGTGAGGCCCCAAATCCCAGAAATCCCAAAAAAACCCCCAAATTCCCCAGAAATCCTGTGAATGTCAAAAATCCCATAAATGTCCCAAAATCCCAAAGAATTCTGAAAGCCCCACAATCCCATAAATCCCCCCAAAAAATCCCAAATTTCCCCTAAATCCCATAAATCTATAAATATGAGAAATCCTGTAAATCCTATAAATCCCAAAAAACCCATAAATGTTCCTAAATCCCATAAATTCCCAGATCCCATAAATCCCAAAAAGTCCCAATTTCCTCTAAATCCCATAAATCCTGTAAATATCAAAAATCCCATAAATTCCCCTCAAATTTCTCCTAAATCCTGTAAATCCCAAAAAAATCCCAATTTTCCCCTAAATCCCATAAATCTATAAATATGAAAAATCCTGTAAATCCTATAATGCCAAAAAATCCCATAAATGTCCCTAAATCCCATAAATTCCCAGATCCCATAAATCCCAAAAAATCCCAATTTTCTCTAAATCCCATAAATCCTGCAAATATCAAAAATCCCATAAATCCTATAAATCCTATAAATGCCAAAAAATCCCCAATTCCCCTAAAATCCTATAAATCCTGTAAATAAATCCCCCCAAAAAATCCCAAATTTCCCCTAAATCCCATAAATCTATAAATATGAGAAATCCTGTAAATCCTATAAATCCCAAAAAACCCATAAATGTTCCTAAATCCCATAAATTCCCAGATCCCATAAATCCCAAAAAATCCCAATTTTCCCCTAAATCCCATAAATCTATAAATATGAAAAATCCTGTAAATCCTATAATGCCAAAAAATCCCATAAATGTCCCTAAATCCCATAAATTCCCAGATCCCATAAATCCCAAAAAGTCCCAATTTCCTCTAAATCCCATAAATCCTGTAAATATCAAAAATCCCATACATTCCCCTCAAATTCCTCCTAAATCCTATAAATCCCAAAAAATCCCAAATTTCCTCTAAATCCCATAAATCCTGTAAATATCAAAAATCCCATACATTCCCCTCAAATTCCTCCTAAATCCTATAAATCCCAAAAAATCCCAAATTTCCTCTAAATCCCATAAATCCTGTAAATATCAAAAATCCCATACATTCCCCTCAAATTCCTCCTAAATCCTATAAATCCCAAAAAATCCCAAATTTCCTCTAAATCCCATAAATCCTGTAAATCCCAAAAATCCCATAAATCCCCACAAAAATCCCAAATTTCCCCTAAATCCCATTGATCCTGAAAGTACCAAAAATCCCATAAATCACCCAAAATTCCCAAATTTCCCATGGACCCATACGGGCTCGTACTGGTTTACACTGGTCTGTACTGGTCCATACTGGTCCATACTGGTCTGTACTGGTCCAAACTGGCCAATTCCCCTAAAATCCCATAAATCCTGTAAATATCAAAAATCCCATACATTCCCCTCAAATTCCTCCTAAATCCTATAAATCCCAAAAAATCCCAAATTTCCTCTAAATCCCATTGATCCCGTAAATATCAAAAATCCCATAAATCCCATAAAAATCCCAAATTTCCCCTAAATCCCATTGATCCTGAAAGTACCAAAAATCCCATAAATCACCCAAAATTCCCAAATTTCCCATGGACCCATACGGGCTC